TGACAGTGACTGATCTAAATTCTTATAATCATGTTTACGTTTCAATCGAAATAAATAGAAACTGTTTCCCAGAAAAAGGATTCGTGGAGAAAGTTGTAGATGAGGCTGGGTCGCCGAAGTACCATGGCTTGATTATAAGGTCGTCATACACAATATCAACAAGTTTGAATAATATGGTACTACTGTATAGCATAAGCGTTAGGCCTTTCGCCTACATGGCGATTGTTATCATATAGTCACTAGACAACGAACTCTGTCGCGGTGAATAGACGTACGTGGTGATATGGATGCATAATGCAGTAACACCTTCGAATATGAAATTATATTTTTCGAAATTACCAGAAAAACCCAAATGTTGACAGTAAAAAGAGAAACACAAAAGACAAACTTAAAGTTAAAAGTAAAACATTCTAAAGCTGCGGTGATCTTATAACAAACAATGAAAAGAATTTTAATTTTATCATACCCTAATTTATTAGAGTTGACAATGTATTTTAATACACTGCGTTCTAGGGTTCATTATTTTACTTTTCTGTAGTAGTATGTCCGACCTTTTCAAACCCCTCGGATATATGTTCTTCTGATTAATTAACATACATAGAATTAGATAATAACATTTTATTAACATAGAGGCGTTTATTAGAGATAGATTATTAAGAGGTGAATAAAGCATTAATTAAAATATCAATAAGGGAAAGAAATTAAAAATTTCTACGGACATTATGAAGATAAATCTGTGGTTAACACCAGGAATTGTAAAATTGAACAATTTGCCTGAGATATTGTTCAATCTTACCTCAACTGGATGCGTACACTGGCAGTGAAAAGTAAAGGGGTACTTGATATAGTTTCTGCCCGAAGTGCAATACTGTATGCGTTAAACCTGGCATATATTTTGAAACTGAAATAAATTAGGTTTTACTTTTTGTAGACTCATTTTGAATTATTAATTATTTTACTCCATATGGCGTTTTTAATTAATTCAGCGCCAAAGAATATTTGACAAACGTATCTAAGCAGCATCAGGAAACTATTGAAATACTAGCTTTATTTTTTGATTATGTACCTACATTATGAGCGCGGACATAATTGGCTTTATTAAGCTAAAGTCATAACGTAACTTTAATCTCATCAGTTTGGAAAGCTGGTGGCATAGACAACAAAATATAATATCATAAACATTACAATAAAAGTAAGTAAAACAATATAAGTTATACATATAACTCATAATATAACAATTTAAAAAGTAAATAAAAAAGGGAACATAATATTTAAAAAAATTAACATAAATTAAGATAGAAATCCAAAAAAACCCTACCTATTTGTAATTCAATAATAAAATAACATCACAATTTAAGATAATAGAAATATTACACACTGGTAAAAAAACAAGTACAAAAAAATACTTTAATTTACACATATATCTATATTGTAAAACCTGGTATATATTTTGAAATTGAAATATATTACGTTTTGCTTTTGTAGACTCTTTTACTTTGAATTATTAATTATTTTACACCATGTGGCGTTTTTAATTAACTCAGCGTTAAAGGATTTTTGACAAACGTATCAAAGCAGATTCACGAAACTATTGAAATACTAGCATTATTTTGTTATTATACACATATATTATAAGGGAAGACATAATTGGCTTTATTAACCTAAAGTCATAACGTAACTTTAAATCTCATCAATTTGAAAAACTGGAGTAGAAGGTACAATGATGGATTGAATTTTTTTTTTAAATCAAATTCAGCTCACAACAGCTCAGCGTAAACAATAAGCAAAGTGGAGAAAATCAAGTGGAAGTACACCTAGGCTAGGCCTATACTAGTTCAACCTCCTGAACATGAAATATATTACGTTTTGCTTTTTGTAGACTCTTTTATTTTGAACTATTAATTATTTTACACCATATGGCGTTTTCAATTAACTCTGCGCTAAAGGATTTTTGACAAACGTATCAAAGCAGTATCACGAAACTATTGAAATACTAGCATTATTTTTTTATTATACACATATATTATGAGGGAAGACATAATTGATTTTATTAAGCTGAAGTCATAACGTAACTTTAAATCTCATCAATTTGAAAAACTGGAGTAGAAGGTACAATGGTGGATTGAATTTTTTGTTAATGCAAATTCAGCTCACAACATAGCATGAACAATAAGCAAGTTGGAAGAAATCAGGCGAATGTACACCTAGGCTAGGCCTATACTAGTTCAACCTCCTGAACATAAAAAATATTACGTTTTGCTTTTTGTAGACTCTTTTATTTTGAATTATTAATTATTTTACACCATGTGGCGTTTTTAATTAACTCAGCGCTAAAGGATTTTTGACAAACGTATCAAAGCAGTATCACGAAACTATTGAAATACTAGCATTATTTTGTTATTATACACATATATTATGAGGGAAGACATAATTGATTTTATTAAGCTGAAGTCATAACGTAACTTTAAATCTCATCAATTTGAAAAACTGGAGTAGAAGGTACAATGATGGATTGAATTTTTTGTTAATGCAAATTCAGCTCACAACATAGCATGAACAATAAGCAAGTTGGAAGAAATCAGGCGAATGTACACCTAGGCTAGGCCTATACTAGTTCAACCTCCTGAACATAAAAAAAAAAAAAGAAAGAAAAACAAAACAAAATATAATGTTAATTAAAACAATTCACAAAGCAAATAATAAAAGGAACATGATATGTAAAAATTTGAATATAATTATGATTATTACAATCTGATAAACCTCCCCTTCACCCCCCACCAAAAAAAAAAAACCAATAATTTAATTTACACAACATCTATATGTAATTTAATAATAAGGTAACAAATAATGAACTTACACCAATACAAGTTCAACCACCAGAATAGAAGGGCCCAGAGAGGGTACCTTCACAGATAGAAGATGTATACCTCCTCAGCCTCACTATGGTTGGGGCTGAGGTAAGAAAATTTGTGATTATGGCACCTCTAGATGGCCGGAAATTGCACTTCCAGACATAAAATTTAAATATAATTATCTTTATATCTCCATTTTTTTATTGAACAATTTAGGGGGGTAGGGCGGGGCGCCTGGGTCCCCTTGAATCCGCCACTGGGCACTTCAGCAGATGGAGAATCTATACCACCTCAGTCCGACCATGGTTGGGGTAAGAAAATTTGTGGTTATGGCACCTCTAGATGGCCGGAATTTGCACTCTCAGACTTAAAATTTGAATATAATTTTCCTTATACCTTCATTAAAAAAAAAATTGAACATTTCTGCCTCCTCCCCCCCCCCCCCACCATCCCTTGAACGCGCCACAGATTTCCGAACAAAGTCAAAGTCAAGATTGCTTCCACGACCTCAATGGATTATTTATCATGAAGGTTACCCTTGACATTGGTTACCCGACGAAAACTTAACTTTTCCTCCGATGGATAAAAATTACCCTTTAAAATAGAGGGGTTCCAGGGAGGGTCTTGCGCAAATAGAATGTCCACCCGCCTCAGCCCCTCGACTGTTGGGGCTGAGGCAAGAAAAAATTATGATTATGGCACCTCTAGATGGCCGGAAATGGCACTCTCGGATTTGAATACAATTTTGTCTGTTTTCTCCACTTTTTTTAAATTTTGAAAAAAATAGGAGGAGGGGTCCCGTGCTGACTGGGTTCCCATTGAATCTGCCACTGTTACAATATAGCACTTGACATAGCCTATCATTTTGTTTCAAGCGAAAAAAATTTTATTCGAAAATTATTTTTTTTACTCAATACAGTTTTCACAACCTATAACACATTAAGTGTACTGTAAATTCTGTATTTTCAGAGAACATTATTTTAAGAAAATGGCCTAATTAAGTACCTTATTGTTTTCGTTAAATTAAATGGAGTTTAATGGTTATATGTAAAGTTTGTGGTTATATTACGCTAGTTTTAAGGTTTACTGTAAGCCAATCAGTACACTTACTATACATTTTTGTGGTAAAGAGAACTAGAACGTCGCTCCATTAAGAGTGTCTACCTCCCCACATATGCCTAAATACAGAATTCACGAATGCAGGCGATTTTTTTTTTCATGCTCGAGGGTTGGTTTCAAGGAAACTTTACAGACGCACATATACAGACGTCAATCAACATTTGGTTGCTCAACTCTAAAAGGGAACTTGTAATGTTCGTTATTTAAAAAAAAAATCTATATTTTATAAATAATAATAATAATAGGTCAATTTATAAGGCGCAAATAAACAAGGTGCAAGCACCAAATAATAATAATAATAATAATAGGCCTAATAAATAATAATAGGCCTAATAATAGGCCTAATAATAATAATAATTTGATGTGAATGGTCCTATTCTTTACCACTACACCCATTTTCACGATTTTTTCTCCGGATTCCGAACCGAAATCCTAGCTTGATGTGAACGTAGCTTAAGGCCCTTTCCAATATTACCGAACAGTATTTTCAAATTCAATCAAGGACTTCCGCACGTCATTGTTGCTATGGTTTCGTTACGACGATAACAGCGACAAAGCTTCGGTTGTTTTACTACCGATTAAAACATACAGTTAGACGCTACAGCCTAATGGATGTTTGGAAATTCGTTCCACTTGAGTAACAATGTCATCTAATCAACAAGCTTATTGATTGGTCGATAACGATCGAATAAACTATTCAATCCAGCCAAAAAACGTCAGTTCTATAATGTTGCGATATTGCAATTGTTTCTAAAACTAATTACAATCAGATTCTTCAAGGAGATAACACATTATCGAGACAAAAAATCTACCACTACTGTACCGCCTAACATCCATGTTCAGACTATAAATGTTGATAAAAACATGTGACATACATCTTGAATGTTGATAATATAGGCACATTTTTTGATAATCTAAACAGAGCCTTATATAATGTAAGCTTCTACAGTATTGTCTTCCTTAATGAGTTAAAACTGTTAAATATGGCATTAAACAGTATAATTAAGCAATCAATCTTTCAGTCATAAGTGCATTCATTGATTTTAACATTGTTTTATAATTTGCGCTATAAAAATTTTGAATTATTATTATAATCTTTGAATCAATCACTTTCCATATCCATCATCACAACTCTAATGTTTAAAAATGTTCTCCCACATCATGTGTTTTTTTTTTATCCCCCTCAGCTATCGTTTGTAAGTCTTTGCAGGTTATGCTTTTTGTATGTTTTCATCTGCCAGTCATCTTCGCAAATTGATAATATTTTAAAGTTGGTTGATACATACTTACAGTACCTTTTCAGTTTTTAATACATTACGTCAAATTTCATTGACCCAATTGCATTGAGATTCTGACATACTGTACCGTACTTACAGCACCATCACACAAATGTACAAGGCGCTACATAATTATAAATACAATAGATATGAAAAGTAATTAGAAGAAACAAAACAAATCCAACACGATATCTGGTTTAACAATATATAATGAGACTCTTCACAGACAGAATTACTGGGATTCACAACAGGATAAAAGAAAAATATAGCCTGTTCAAATACATTTTCCAAGTTGGTAGCAGTACAGGTATTTTAGTATAGTACTGTACCTTAATTAATACTATTAGTTTCAGTCATATAAAACTGAGCCTACAGTTAGTCAATTGAGCCTACAGTTAGTCAACTACTGCAACTTGCTCCGGCTACCACTCTGTAAACTGGACTCATTTTTATTATCAATTTCCACATTTCCCCTGGCTTCATCTGTAGTATCCACCTCCATTGGGTTGCTGCACCCCTTGCACTTGCAGTTCGTACAGGGCGTACCTGACATAAAACAAGGGCACCTACGCCCTTGACACGTGCTTGCTGTCCCACCTCCCGGTGCCCATGTGCCACACCGACAACCCTGTTGAATAACCAATTTGCGCCCCTCTCGTAAAAGTTTTGCCCTCCGCCCAGATATAATCAATTTTTTTTGCACATTTGTATTTGTTTTTACATAATTTATTGCCGCCGATCGCATTGTCTTATCGGTGATAGCTGAATCACTTTTCGTTCTATATCTCTTAAATTTTCTATGTCTCCCACGGTTGATTCCCGTGTTCATAAACTTATGTGACCCAGAAGGGGCTGAATGACGTTTATATTTTTGTTTTTTGACCCCAGAACTGTTCCGTTTTTCTGGTGAAGTTTGTGATGTTTCCAATTCAATATTACACGCATCATGTGATGTTGATGGTAGCTTTGTATCCTCACATGCTGTTTGCTGTTCAGTCTTTGGAGAGGGCCTAGATTCTGCTTCTGTTGTTTTCGTTGGTTCCTCTGGTGTATTCTTTTGAGTGTTGCATACTAATCTTTTATTCTTTCGTTTCCTCCCTCTCCTGGTCCCAGAACTCAACGTTGCAACACAATTGGATTTAGTTTGAAGTAGTGACATAATATTGAAATTTGAAGCACTGTCAGAGTCTTCCAAGTTATCTACATTAATTGCCATTCCCTCATGGAGAAGGGCGAGTACATTGCTTGTCCCTCCATTAGTACCAACGAGACTCCTTGAGATGGGCGTGTCGGCAATGTATTCGCACATCTTTTTATAACATGACAGTAGTATCCGTAACTGTTTCTTTTCAATAAATTTCGAGTAATCTGTGCACCAGCCACAAGCAGGCCTAAGCCGCTTCTTGCCTCCGATACAACCCTGACAAACATGGTGTTGACATGTTGGGTTCGCAGGCCCCATCGGTCCATTCAGTAACTGCGTGCAAACACAACACGACAAAGACTGACGTAAATACGGAAGTAGACGATACAGATCGTCGCCAGAATTCTCGTCATTTAGGTCAGCATTTAAAATATAACGGCATGTAGTGATGTATAGACTTGTAGCGTCCATGTCAAATAGACTTTTCTTTACCAAATTAAATCATAAACAGACTGATTAATAGTCTTATTTCGATAAAAAAATTTCCACTACATAGCCCTACGTTGACGTCTTTGTAACTAACCGGAAGTTAAACTTTATTTTGTGATAGCGACCTCTATAATCTAAGTATTGACCTTTTAATTAGGATTTCGGTACAGGTATCTAGTACATCATGTGTGACTGATATTGCTCGTGTCTTATATTTCAGTGATATTTAATTAAGGAATTATGACTTACATATTAATTTAGTCTTTCAAAGAAGTATTTTGTACTAAAATCAAGTAACATCTCGGACTAGAGTGATGCAATTCAATGTACAACATTGTTTAGAACGGCTGGACATGAACCTAATTCCACATCCAAAATGGCATCCTTCTGGAAACTGTCACGGGCTCTCATTCAAATAAACCCCTTTAAGCATAATACACATATAATCAGTATTTCTACACGACCATGTAGCCACCAGCTTCTAGTAGATGTCAAATCAAAGATCGAAAGAAAAAGGCAACTTGCAGAAGAAGGTGGAGGACAACACCGAATTGATGCCCAGCATAAGAAGGTAGGCCTAGCCTAGGCTAGGCCAGGGCCTACTTAATTAGGCCTAGAGGCCCTGGGTCCGGGCCAGAAGCCTAGCCTAACTATTTTAGATCAAGGGCTACGCTAGCCTAGGCAAGCTGCTTAGCCTTGTCGGTGTAGGACCGTTTTGGCCGTCAACAAGTTCGGCTGCGGTATATGAAACAAATTTTGCATTGTATGTTTTCTGTCAATTCGAATAATTGAATTGAATGACTAGAATCTAGGCCTAGAGGTCTACGTGGCCTTACAATTTATAGGAATTTGCTGTGCCGGCAAATATGCCAACATCGATGTAATGCAGGTCTGTTTCTCTGATTGGCTAATGTAAATTATGACTTCATCAAACCAAGACCGCCTCTAATGAAGGATCGGGAAAAATACATCCAAAACACCATGACTGATAAATGTCTGCAGACTGGTGATTGTTTTTTTGGATGTCAAAACAAAAACAAAGAATTTGAAGAAAACCGAAAAAAGAAAGGCTGAGAAAAAGAAACTGTGTATCAAGACACTGACGAACAGAGAGAGATTCCAGTGCTGACAGTAACAGACAATTGGGCTTAATGTAGATCGATTAGACCTACTGTACCTTCTTGCCAGCCTAGGGCAGGCTAGACAAACGTAGATCCATCCAATCACCACGACCTAAGCTAGTGATGATGAGAGATTCATTCCACTGTAGGGCGGATGTTTGGTGGTGCAGTTTCTTGAAGTCCATCACACAATGATCGTCTTTATACTGGGACTGCTCTGGCCGAGATAAACTGTAGTTTTTTTGGATGTCGAAACAAAAAACAAAAGAATTTGAAGAATCGCCGCAGCTCAGTCACAAAAGGGGACTGAGAAAAAGATATCCTAGGTCAAGACATTGGCGAACAGAGAGAGATTCCTCCTAGTGCTGACAGTGACGATTGGGCTTAGTAAAGTAGACCTAGTCCTACCTTCTTGCCAGCCTAGGGTAGGCTAGACAAAATTTGATCCATCCAACCTCCGCGACCTAGGCTTGTGAATGATTCATTCCACTGTATAGGGCGGACGATTGTTGGTGAAGTTTTTTGAAGTGCAGCACACGTTGATTGTCTTTAATCGATTTTGATGTTGCTAGACTGAGACAGACTGTACATCTTACTTTACATCATCGCTGATAGTGTAATTGTAGGCCTATGTATTCCCCTACGGGTACGGTATGTATCCGAAACAGTGCTATTTGAATTTTGGGACACTCTTATATTCAGTGGCGGGGCTGTGAGGCTTCCCCCACCCCGGGGAGAAAATCCCCAATTCGTATGGGACAAAAACAATTTTTTTTATTTTTTACATATTAATAGACTGTCATTTTTTTATTTGGGGGTGGGGGGGCTTCCCCTGGACCACTTTGGAAAGGTTTTTATCCCTCCATTAGGGACCTTGGACCCCCGGAGGGGCTGACATTCAAAGAACACCGATGAAGCCTATCAGTCTTTTCACCCGCTCTGTATTTTCATTCCTTTTCTCATTTGATTAATTTTGTTTTATATTTGTCCAATACTCTCAGCCTAAAAGTACAACAAGCCAACAAATCACTAGTGTCTCAGTTCAATTTTTATTGCTACATATAAAAGTCATGTATTGTTTATACGACCTATACAATACTGTTTATGAATACAAAACAAAGAGACCAGGAAACTATAAACAACCGAAACAACAGCATCTAGCTGGGTTGTACGGCGTGTGCGAAGGTCCAAGGTACGGACGGTGTCTACACTTATCCGATGGCCCTAACTTACCTTAGACCTACTTTGTATCACTATTTGTGATTCCAACTGGCAATTTAGTTGAAAGAAGCTTCGAAATACGTCATCGGTAAATGTATTTGAATGAAAACATTAAAATGATATTTACTTTGTGATGATTGACTATTGAGAATGTCTTTTTGATTTTGTGGTATAGTAATTGACATTGGTTTTAGCAGGGAACCATCATGTTTTGGCGTAGGCCTAGTACGTTGTCAACAATTGACGCGTGTAAAATGAAAAGGGCACAGTTATTTCCAGCTCATAATATCACTTTTATTTGAAAAGTTAACACAATGATTTAATAATTTATTTATTGATTAAACTACATTTAGGAAATGAAATTACATAATAAAAACAAATATTATAATTAAATCAGTGCCTTTGTGAGCTTGGGCCGAAGCTAATTTTGAGCGCTGAAATTGAATCTATATTCTTTGATTGAACTCACATTAACGTACCTTTCACCAAAATCATGTTTACGTGACCGATAGTGCAAGTTTAATAAAGTACGTCTGTGCATGTGTTATTTATTTCATGTACCTGTAATATCATTTACTGATTTGTATTCCGTCGTGTAAATATATCCACCAACTAGTAAGCCTAGGAGGCCTGTGTAAGCTACAGTTCACTAGGGGTGTATTAACTGCTAGTGTGACACTTTTTTAGTATGTTGATATTAACATAATATTTGCACATATTTAGGGAAAGTTAACAGCAAGGGAACGTGTGAGGTTGCTGATGGATCCAGGCAGCTTTGTTGAGTTTGATACATTTGTGGAGCATCGTTGCACAGACTTCGGCATGGATGAACCAAAAAACACAGTAATGTATAATTGACATTGCTTGGAACAAAGCAATAAAAATATAACAATTATAATTCTATTTTCGCAATTTACATACTGTACACATTTTAACGTTATATTGTGGATTAGTATTGTCTTTATAACAAAGGAGATATTTTATCAGATTTAAAACTCAATACAATGTGTTCCTTGATTGATGTGTAGTAGAAGAGTACAATATTTGATAATAGCCTATTACGTGGTTCGCTTACTGTATTATGTTTTGTTTTATTACTACAATTACTATTTTTATATTTGATCCTTACCATGTTGGCCTTTTTTAAATTAGCGTTAAAATTTAAGGATTTTTTATTTGTCTGGCTTGCCCGGATGATTTTTATATGTATGAGATTTTCAACTTTAATAAAAATATATTATAAAAAGATATATTTCAATAGAGAATTTTTAAAACAAGCAAGTTAATCGGATTGAATTGATACATTATTTATGAACGCTCTTTAATTATTTGGAGTTTAAAAAAATGTATTTTTGCTTTTAAGTTTCCAGGTGATGGAGTAGTTACAGGTCATGGGTACATAAATGGAAGAATTGCTTATGTTTTCAGCCAGGTGAGGCCTTATAATATTATGTTGATTTTTGTTATTCTAAGTGAGATACTTGCTTATAAAATTATCCCAAAGTGTTATAACAGCAAGAGATCTGACTCTCAGGGTTTTTGTTGAAACACAGTCCTATCTCAAAAAGTACTATCGCAAACCTGAGGGCGTCCTTCAAAAGGTGTTTGAACTCTATTCAAATTCTAACAATGTGCCCCCTATCTTGTAATAGTATTTTTGTAATGTTTCATTGGGTGTATAAAAAGTCAGGGCAGTCAGACCTTCTGCAATTCTATGCTCTTTGATAATACTCTATCACTTGATTGACACCGCCTAAAATTGCATGATTTTTTTTTTTTTATTAAATGAACGTAGTTCTAATATTCTCGTTTGTTTTTATCAGGATTTTACAGTTCATGGTGGGAGCCTATCCAGTGCTAATGCTCAGAAAATTTGCAAGATCATGGATCAGGCAATGTTAGTAGGAGCACCAGTTATTGGTTTAAACGACTCTGGGGGAGCTAGAATACAAGAAGGTGTGGAATCCTTAGCTGGCTATGCAGATATTTTTCAGGTGTGTTAAGAAAATCACAGTAATAATAACATAAGACTTTATTTTCTATGTAAACATTTATTAAACATTAACAAAAAAAATCACTATAAAATTCACTTCACTAGCATATTAATTTATTAAAACAAAATAATCTAATAAAATACCAAAATTAAATCTCTTTAATTTACAATATTAAATAAAACCCTTAGATGTATTGTCCCCTGAAAATGATTATTCTCAATAGTTTTAATTGTATTGGTAACAAGTTACATTGTATTGTAAATATTAATGTAATCCAAAATTAAAACACAAAATAACTTTAAAAAAATATACAACAAAATAGAAAGCTATTTATTTATTTATTTTTTTTAATGTATGTGCAATTTATTGTAACTGTTTTTCTTTTCCTCTAGTATCATTGATTGGAAATATACTGGAAAACAATAGATTAATTGTTAACCAAAGCTTGAAAAATGAGTGTACTTCTAAAGAAAGTAAAACACGTATTTTTTATATTCTAATTGTGTAGAACAATTGTAGATTTTAAAAGTACAGTAATTTATTGATTGTAGGCTTTAAAAGTTCTTTATTGATTGTAGACTTTAAAAGTACTTTATTGATTGTTGACTTTAAAAGTACTTTATTGATTGTAGACTTCAAAAGTACTTTATTGATTGTTGACTTTAAAAGTACTTTATTTTTGTTTTTTTCAGCGAAATGTCATGAGCTCTGGTGTTATACCACAAATTTCACTTATCATGGGACCTTGTGCAGGTGAGTGTTCTGGTTTCTAAATGGTTGCTGAACTAGGGAGGAAAAGGAGAGGCTATTATGACTATATGATGCTGAATTGCTCATGTTTTGTGTATCTTTTTGTAACTTGTTTGTTGTGATGAGGACTCCCCTGAATAGTGAAAATCAGCTTCATTGAGTGGTTCTTCCTCTTGAAATATAAATAAAGAAAGAAAGAATAGATGCTGAATTTATTGCACATGCAAAAAAATGATAACAGTTTAATTTATTTAATACAGTGTGTAAAAACATTGGCTCCTTTGATAATGATATAGAAGCTCTGCAGAAGCTCCGAGACTTTTTTAACTATTTGCCATTAAGTAACAAAGATCAATCTCCCATATTGCAATGTGATGATTCTCCGTAAGTAATGTTATGGATTGTGTACTTTTGATTTTTCAAAATCTTCTTTCTGCTGATGGAAAGTAGGGATTATCAATGATAAAGTGAGGATGGGTGTTAGAAAGGGGGAAGGGAGTGGAAGAAGTGAATAGAGTATGTCTGAGTTGAAGGGGCATCGTGGTAGGGAAGTGCATGAGTCAGGGAATTATGAAAGGACTAAGAGTGCCATTTAATGGGCAGAGGGGTGGGGGTATGATTGCTGGAGTAGAGAGAAGGAAGGGAGGGTGTAGAGACAAAAGTGTGTCTGTGAGTAAGGGAATGAGCAAGAATGTCATTGAGAGAGTTGGAGTAGAGTGAAGTAAAGGGGTGAGATAGAGAAGCAGGAATGTAATGGGAGGGGGCTGGCAGTTTTTAATTACAGAATTATTATTCTTATTATATTGATTTTAACCATTTCCATCTGGAATATTTGCCTTCACTCTATTAACAGTGAAGTTCTCAAACAACTGATGATGAAAAATAACGCGACTGGATTTGTTGAAGGAAAGTAGTATTTAATTGTTAATCTAATCTAGATCAAATTGATGTGTACTACTAATTAACTAATGGATTGTTTAAACTTTTTATGAACATCTAGCTAAACAATATTTTTCTTCTAAAGTACTAACTAAATAACCTGTTTTATGGTCTTAACCACCTCAGCCTCCACCATGGTTGTGGCTGAAAATTATGATTATGGTACCTCTAGATGGTCAGAAATAGCACTCGCATACAAATTTGAATATCATTCTCTACTTATTTCTATTGTTTTCACAAATTTGACAAACCTAGGGGCCTCTTAATCTGTCACTGGGTATGATACATGTCCTACAGTCGATGTCAGAGACACATTATTCTGCTATGTATCTACAAAGCGCTTTTGGGTCAGTGTGCTAGATCATGAACCCAATGGGTAGGGGCTAAGGGGCCCTGTGGACCTTCACACAAGAGCGCATATGCATTACACCACTGTCTAGAGATGTTCAAAAATCTGTATATCAAAAACCACTTTCGAGCTTTTCGTTAAAACTGCTTTTTGTGTCTTAGAAAAATCGGATGTACAACATATCAACAATTTTGATTTCCTCCGGAGCTTGGCTTTAAAACTAAACTCAAGATTTAAACACTATTATATTTCCACACTTAGACTATTGCTGCTGTGTTTGGGGATCCAATGGTATTTCTCTGATAAGTTCCACCGCTTTAAAATCCTGCTCTTCGCATCACCCTCAATGTAAACTCCTATACGTCTTCCTCTTTTCTGAATTTTGTAAATATTGTCTATAACCACGCTCTCCTCCAACTGGGCTGTCTTGCTTTAAAGCTGCCACTGTTGTTGCTCCAGACTACTGATATTTATTTTGTAGTACTTAAAAGAAGAGGTTATTGGACTAGAGCAGTAAATGCTGGCACATTTGTTGTTCCTGGACCAAGCAATATTTTAAACATTCATTTTTTTTTATGTATTTAAATAGTTTTAAATTGTTACTATTATTATTTTGATTATTATTATTACTTTTACGGTTTATATTTCTTTCCACTTTCCTTTGTGGCGGTAAGTACCAGGTTGAAGTGACAGAAGCATTAAAGGTGTCTTGGAGGAAGTGTGTCAGGGTGCAATAAAAGGGAAAGTGTGCAATGGACAAAGGTTGAAGGAATAGAGGCAGTGAGTGAATGATAGAGGAAAGTGTCAAGGAAAGAGGAGAAAGCCTCTTTCCCTTGATCAGTTTAACCATACATTTTTTTTTTTTATAAATGTATGCCTATTATGGGTGCATAAAGAAAATATATAATAATATTAATCTCTGTATTACAGTATACATTTCTTCTCTTTATAGTGATCGCTTAATACCAGTATTAAATACATTAGTACCATTAGAGTCCAATAAACCATATGATATAATGGAAGTCGTCCTTGCTGTAAGTGTATTTTCTTATCTTTGTAATGTGTGTGATGATGGTGGCAGTGATAGCACAGTTTTGAAACCAGCATAATGTTGCGATATGTTAAACTGAGTAATTAGTATTAGAATGTGACAGTGCTCTATACATAAAGCCATAATAATTTTTGTCATGCCTTTGTCAATGACCACATTTTTAATTACCTCATTTTAAAGATTACAACTTGGAAATTACTGTATAAATAATTTTTTGTTTAATTTTTGGCCATAGATTTGTGATGGCATGCCTCATATAAAAGTACATAATCATGTTGTCATTGATACAGACCTCATCTGCCATTTATTCTATTAATTTTTCATGATTCATCATATGCTATTGTTTTTGGTATTTTATTGTTATTACCTCCGCCACGGTTGTTGTTTACGCATCGTTATTTGGTTGTTAGCAGGATTATGCAACACATATGAAACACATCCTCAGTTCCCTGGGGAGCACACAATTCCATAAGCGGCTAGAGTCAGGGCTTGGTATTAGATCATACCAGGTACCCACCCTCCTGGGTGGAGAGAAATAAAGATAAAGTGCCTTTGCACAGCGAGGGTTTCAAACCCCCAACCTGAAGGTTGTGAGTCTCAATCCACAGCTATTGCGCCAACCGCTTCTACGTTACATAACTTTTAGTGGAGCAGTGCATATTTTTCTCAGGAAGAGTTATTAAATTTTTAAGTAATAAAGTCAATTGTGAAGGCCAAGACCACAAAAAGGTGAAAAATCACCATTACAAAGTGACGTGGTGGAGGAATGAACTCTATCAATTGGCCCTTTAGTTATTATTATTATCATCATTATTTTTGTTATTACAGTATTATTTCTAGTGTTTTTTCTATTTTGCTTTATCAGACTGTTGATGATCGCAAGTTTTTCCAGATCATGCCAGATTATGCCAAAAATATTGTCGTTGGATTTGCAAGGATGAACGGCAGAACAGTCGGCATTGTGGGTAACCAACCTAAAGTAGCTTCAGGTAGTTTTATTGTTATTTGTAATTTGTTATTATTTACATGCTTTATTCCTAAAAATACACAAAAATAATAGTATGTAGTTCTTGTTAAAAATATTCATTTATTATCAATACTATTGAAGTTTTTAATGCTGTTGTAGAATTTTTTCCATTTCCTTGAGGTAGAAGACAATTATTCTTATATTTTAATTTTTTCTTGCAACTTGTTTATTTTTTTTAATTCCTGTGTTTATTATTATTATTGTTTTGTTTAATAGGTTTCAAATTTTATGGTCTTGTAGTTAATTTTGTTTTGCTTCATTACGAATACTCCAAATATTTTTGTTTTAGTGCCACTGATATAAAGGTGTATGTTCGAATAATAATATTATTATTATTGTTATTATTATTATTATTATTATTTTCTAGGTTGTCTTGACATTAGTGCTTCCATCAAGGGTGCTAGATTTGTTCGTTTCTGTGATTCATTCAACATCCCTCTGATCACTTTCGTAGATGTTCCAGGATTTCTACCAGGTACTGTAATTCCTCCTTATGGAAAGACAAGTTTTTTTTCTTTAATAAATTTAATTCTTTATTTTTATTTATAGAATGTTTCATGAGAGTTGCTCTCCCAGACTCCAAGAGAAACCCACTCCCCAAACAGCAAATATATCAAAATATAACTACAAAGGGTTATATTATAGCAAATAATAAATTGACATTAATTAAAGTCAATTTAAATATCAATTAAAAAAAAAAAACACCATTCAACCAGAATTTATAAACATATATTTATAATTTCTGATTATTACACTTGATATATTTAAACTAATACAGCAATATCATTTCATAGAAAGAAAATGGACAAACCACACAAAATTTGTCACTAAAACACAAAAAAACACAACATTAAACTCTACATTGCCTTTTGTGATGTTACATTACTTTTTAATCAGGTACAAGCCAAGAGCACGGAGGGATCATACGTCATGGTGCTAAGTTGCTGTATGCTTATGCCGAGGCCACTGTACCAAAGCTAACAGTGATCACTAGGAAGGCCTATGGTGGGGCTTATGATGTGATGAGTTCAAAGCATCTAAGAGGAGATATTAATTATGCATGGCCTACAGCTGAGGTAGCAGTCATGGGAGCACAGGTTAGTAAATATGGCTATGGATCCTCATCTATATTAGATATTGAAACACACCGAGCTTAGGGTGTTTGACAGGAGGGTCCAATGTCGCCGATGAGAGCGCAAGTGTAAGTGGGGGTTAGGTTTATGGTTAGGGTTAAGAAGGTCACTCCCCCCTGAGACCAGCTTTCCTCCTACCCCCAGTCTATCCACTGGCGGTGCCCTTGCACCAACAATCAATAACACAAATGTATGTACACTTTATTCCAATTCCAGTGGGGTGCTTCTGATGGGGAATTGGTCAATAAACTAGGAGACAATTCTCTTTACTGCCTCCTTTACGATGTAAAGGGGCCATATTGCACACAGAACCAACAGTTTAAAGGTTTCTTCAGTAGGGTTGTATGCTACTGAAATTTGCATTTCAGCCCTTTAGCTAAAACACAAAGGAGAACAGCAACAGAATTGAACCAGGGACCTAAAGTTTGAAAGATCTTCCACAGGTCTGCACACACAAATTATATTAGCAGGTAGCATGCCGATTTGTTTACACTCCATGTTCACGATTGCTGCACTCCAAACCTAACATAAAAGATGGGGAAAATTTAAGGTGTAGCTGGTAAAATATACACTAATTTTTCTTTTTGCAGGGTGCTGTTAAAATTATATTCAGGGGCGACAACAATGTCGCAGAAGCTGAGAAGGAGTATGTAGAGAAGTTTGCAAACCCTTTCCCTGCCGCAGCTAAAGGTAAATAGAAATAGATGTGCAGTTGTGTAAGGTGATTTTCTTTCAAATGGGGAATGGGAGTGCATTTTCATATTTTATTGTTCTAAATCATACATACAATTAAATTGAACTGTTCATCAAGGAGAGAATGTTCACTCGTTTCTGGATTGGGGGTTTGGGGTTAATTTTAGTATTTGTAGTATATTTGTTGAGTGCCTTCAACAATCAAATCATGTCAAGGCACTAAACATGGGGGTGTGGGGTAAGAAAAGATAATTAAAAAGCAGTTATACAGTAATATAATTTACTAATAATAATTAAAATTGTAAGCTTAATTGACAAATTATATACTTATTAATTATATACTTATTAATTATTTATTCTTTTGTTTCAGGTTTTGTTGATGATATTATTGAACCTAGTACAACCAGGAAGCGACTATGCCGCGATTTAGATTTACTGTCAACCAAAAAGCTTGAAAATCCGTGGAAAAAACATGGGAATATTCCTCTTTAAATAAATGTTGAGTCAATTAGCTTATTGCTTAGCTGGTAAGCTTACAGAAGACATAATCTATTCAGAAATCATCAACCTTTCATCAACCATTCCGAACGTTACAATATATATAATTGTGTAAAAGATGATAATCCAATTCAGCTTTAATGAAGCGTAGGGATATCTTCTCATACTTCCTAAGCAAACAAATTGGCAGGTCTTCCGAACTAAAATCCTTAATGATGGAACCAAACGGACGCTTCATTAAAGCTGAATTGGATTATCATTTTTTACACAATATATATATATATAGCCAGAAACATGCATTGTGTGTGTGACATGAGTAAGAATGATATAAGACATGCTAAGATTTCATGACTAAAAATCATGAAGGTACCATGTAAATGTGCCTGATACTAGCTGTAGCATTATGTTATAATCTCCCACAAAGTTGAGTATGTGTTTTGATCCAATTACTGGGGTTTGATTGCTAAGCATGTAGAGGCCATTGTATATGCACTGCAGTAAGACTGGAATATTACTAATCCAGTCCAATCCAAACATCAAATTATAAGTTTCAATGCGTCAGTTTATGGGAGTGCTTGGTATACAAAGATAAAAAAAAGACAGAAAGAAAACATTAAGTGGAGCTGAAAAGATGACTACCAGTTATATTCCAGAGGTCTTGCTTTTAATCATGAAAAGTTGTTGTCAATTCCTTCTTTATATATTTAAAAAATCTAAATTATTGTTTGTACCCTGGTTATCCACCATTTTTCGAGTAGGGTCTCGTATCCAGAATAGAGAAGCTTTGTAATGTTGCTATCTTATAAAAAGTACTGTGTTCTGTTAAATTTCTGGGCATGGTTTATGGGTGTTTTTGATTCCCAAGTTTTCCACTGTTCTAGTAGAGGCTGAATCTCTGTGTGCTGTCCACTGTTGTCTGTCCAAGCTTTGTAGATCTACATATCATAACTTTATCAATTCACTGTTCACAAGTAGAGGCTCGATCCTTTGCATATTCTCCATTCCCACTGGTCCCATGTACACGCACACATAAAGGCCAACTCAGACAGCCTGGTATGACAGAGTCCGATGCAATTCATTATCGGGGCTCTTCTCTCGTAGCATTTTAAACTCATTTATTATTTTTCTCCCGACTGTCTGAAGACCCGTCGGCGATGGAGTCAGTATGATAAATTACATAGGCGGTGTGATACGATGCAGAGGTGACATTTACATAGCTGTTATTTCAGTTTGCAGTAAAATACATCAAAATTCCGAAGGGAATCGGTAAACTAATAACTCCTTGTGAAGATGTTCAAAGTGTGGGCCAACAGGCTGTGAAGGACTCTTCACTACATCCGAGATTGTCATCATTGCAAAGCTCAAGATATTTAATATTTATTTATTAAAAACAACTCTTGTTTTATTAAAATCAGCTCTTAAAACAATAAATACAGATTTGCAAGTTCGTTTTTTTACATCATTGTAGTAAAGAAAAATGAATTAGAATGTCAAAACATTGTCTTCACTACTCTCCACAGCGAGAGGTCGCGTATTTATTTCCAACCAGCAGCACTTTCTCATACAACTGGATGAGAATTCGCTCTATAAGACTGCACCACTGAAGATTGAAGAGGGAGTCTAAAAATATAGCCGGGACAATTCTGCTGTTTATGCAGATGCCTTAATCAACAATATATATATATACATATATATATAAGTTTGAAAGGCAAATGGGAAAAACCCATAAAACAGCAAACGGCCATATAATGCAAAACAATTTAAAATTAAAATTAAAACGGAACAGTAGAGAAAATCCGATCAGAATGACAAAATAAACTAAGCATCCACTGGAAGGAATCCCAATATCTGCAGACGGACTGTCTCTTATACACATCTAGATGTGTATAAGAGACAGCTCTAGGACGGACTTTTTTTTTTTTTTTTAATTTGCTGAAAGGAGGTTTCAACCAAGGAGCTTACAAGAGCCATTGGTGAGGCAGTTTTCAGAGGCATTCCACAGAATATTTTTTTTTTTCATTTGTCAATTTTGAAAAAATGCCCGTATGCTAGCATTTCTTCTTAGACGGCACATTCAGAATTTGTCAAGTGTCTTTAAAATATCTAAAAAGAAACATTTTGGTATGCCTGAAACTCAGTTCAGGCATGTTAGAAGCAGGCAATCAGATATAAAGTAGCAAAAAAGTAAATGAGCAATAACGTTTTTAAAAAGGTAATATTTTTTTTTAAATCAATAATACACAACTGTCAACAAGCATTTTTATTGATTTGCAGAGGACATTGCACACCAGATTATATTACAACAAAAGTATTAAAAAAACACCAAAAGGTATTATGCATACAACGATCACCCTATAATAATAGGAATGGTTAATAGGAATGGTTAATGTCAGGCAAACGTCTAACACAATATAGAACACATCGATATTTATATCATTATCCCTTATTGTTTTCGCTCTTGGTCTATGCCGCCACTGTCATTATGAAATGCTTAAAGCCAGGCTTGGAGGAAGAAAATATTTGTATATGTTGTACATCTGATTTTTCTAAGACAAAAAAAGCATATTTGACGAAAAACTCGAGAACGGTTAACGAGATACAGATTTTTGAATATTTAAAAACGGGGGACAATAGTTGGAAAAAAGTGGTGATTACGCCCCCTTTCCCCCACAGTTTTTAATACACTACTATTCAAACATCTGTAAGCCTATCTCATTAACCGTTTCCGAGTATTTCGTCAATGCTTTTTGTGCCGTAGAAAAGTCAACATAAAGCATTTTCTTCCTCCAATACAACATACATTGTTTCCTCTGGAGCCTGGTATAAGGTTTATAGTTATTTTATTATGTCATTTGTACTTTTTACCTCTTAAAAGTTCACTCTTGTTTTTGTGAAATATATATTTAATTTCCATCTGTATTTACATACTAATTTGTTTTGCTGCTTATTGTATGAGTGATGTGGCTGCGACGAGGACCCATAAAATCTGAATTGAATATATTGATGTGTAGGATCTTTTAAAAGAATACACCTCGATGTGTGCCCGTTCTGTCATAAATTAATTAGTTCACAGATTCCTTATTTTAGTTGAAAATAATTAAAATGATTTTTAAAATAAATAGATAAAACGGAAAAATATAATATGAACGATAAGTATTAAGAGAATTGATGATTCGATATCGAATCAATAGCTTGTTCATCATTACTTGACAAAGTAGGTTTAATACAGTCATTTGTTTATCCAATGTTAACAGTATTCATCCCATTGTAAAAAACATTTAACTTCAATAATGAATGGTCAGGGACATATTAGGCAAACAATGAGCGAATATATTGCATCGAAAAGAAAAGGTATCTTTTGTAGTAATCCCAAGCTATCAAATCACGAATGACCTTAAAAGTTCCCCCATTGTTCCCATATTCAATATATTGATTACTAGGTCTTATATCGATTAGGATCATGCGACTGGCCTCGGTAGATGATAGTCTAACTGTACTCTATGGTTTATTGGCCATCAACCAGCCTTCAATCTTGTAAGCCTTAGCCTCTATAATGTATGTAGAGACCGGTAACCAATTTGCTTCATAGTTACCTTACGTTTTGTGCTCCACCAAGATGCTTATTGGCTGGCTTCATTTATTGGTAGGCAATGTGTTTTTTGTGGCTCTCTATTTATTTATTGGCTCATATTAAAAATTTAATAACATTTAAAGTAATATAATTTAGGTATTCATTCTCCGATTTGCTGTAATAGCCTGTATCGCATAAATATCGTGACCTCACTGTACACACACTCATACACGTGAGAGGAACTTGATCACTTTTTATAATAATTAATACAATAATTAATTAATTAATTAAGTCATTTAAAGATAAGCCTTGTCTACTTTAAATTTTGTAGGCCTATTTTAAGTCTTTAGTTTTGGATATAAAAATTTAGACTCAGACTGCTTACAGCCTCGTTTCGGAGAGGTTCGTTGTGTTCTTTACCTGCACCCCTCTAGAAATCCTCAAACATCTCTCCATTATGTCGTAAATCAGTGATTTACGTTTTTTAAGATTCATTTCAAGTTCAGCCTTGTCTACTTTAAATTCTAATCGTAGCCATAATGTAAGTCTGTAGTTTTCAATAAGCATTGGCTACTTCCAGCCTCATTTCTGAGAGGTTTTGTTTCTTTAGCCGGACTGCACTAGAAAATCTCTTAAAACCTCCCTGCCTTGTTTTAGATTGAACGTGCTTACGTTCCTTTATCATATTTTGCTCATATGAAAAATTTCAGATGGGTATCTTCTGGCAACTGAAATTCTCAAAAATTAGGAAGTTTTTTTTTCTCCTGGACAAAGTGTCCAATATTAATGGATAATCCTGAATTAGTCGCTGCTGTTCTGAGCGGAATTATTACCAAGTGTCCACGTTTTACGGTTACTGAGGAATTCTAACCAATTTTCTAATATCATACGCAGTCTGCTTCTAAATGTCCTGTTTATTATTATATCGAATCAGTAAATGGGGCAACATCTCTGGCTCGGTAAAATGCGACTGTGGAGCAGAATTTCAAACCATCATGGAACATCCTCTCAGTTGTCCCCTTCTAGAGCATGTACTACTGCTGACCTTGCGGAACTTAGGATATGTGTGCGGACATGGTTGAATAGAATCAGGGAACAGTAGGCCTAATTTCACGGTTCCCTGATAGAATATAAACCTCTCTATAGACTCGAAAAGAATTAATTTTATATTATTTTAACTACAAGCTATTCAACATTCAAGATCCCCATGCACTCTACATCCTCTTCATTCCAGTATTACAATTAGATCAATATAATAATAATATTGCAAAACAAAAAACAAAACAAAACAAAAAATAAAACAAAAAACCAACATTGTGTTTCTCGGCAATATGGGCTATTATCTTTGCACGATATCCTGTTGGCTGTTAATCAATATTTGATTTGTTCCTCATTTATTTATAATTTATTTAATCCTTGTACATCAACAAATCAAAAGATTTAATTTTAACACAATCTATTTTTAAATATTCTATTATTTTCACCTAACTAATACTTGATTTATACCGAAAGTGAAAGAATTAAAGGCATAGTGGTTGATTAACCCGGGTAAAATTATTACTCATGAGCACCCAGGTTGTCCTTAAAGAATAGTGTAGGCCAATATACCATGGCAACGTATGATACGCGTTTGGAATGTTTATACAATATTCACCTAGGGCCTACATAATATTATTGTAAAATGTTTAAACTGTACAATCCTCGAGCTTGAACAATAAGAAGAGTAGACCTATTGTGATATGCGTTAGTGGTCCGAGTGCTATAGTGTGCGGTATTGTCGTATTTTTCACAATTATTATAAGCTGATTCGTGAAGTAGGATTAAGCAGATATCAAATATTATTTTAATCTCAGTTTTCAGGTAAGCCCACTGACAGTATTCGAGCATAACACTTTATGGAGTTAGGACTACTTGATTCCTCAAGTTATGATCCATGATAGGTATAATGTAACATTGTATTAAGTCTAATAAAAACAAGACTCGGACGGAAGCGTCAAATTTCATATTGATCTATATCGTCGCTGAGCAAGACTGTGTGTGGAATAGTACACATTATAAATTCAAGCAGTTGGTTGTTTGGTTGGTTGATTGATTGATTGATTGATTGATTGATTGATTGATTTGATAGATCGATTGATTTATTAATCTCCTATTAGAAAAGAATAACCAAAGTCACTGTGCTCAGTAATCATGAAATAGTGGAATAGTCGTGTTAAGCCTGAAGTTTTACTACTAATAAATATTCTTTATTGAGATCCTGAAGACTTCGTGAATATCTTAAAATTGATGCCTTTCCTTTTACTATATGTTCAGGTAGTTACCAGTATCTTTTGATGTTCAACAACCAGTTATAATCTGTAGGCCAAATGTACCTATTTAATTCAGATTGATTAGCATGTTCCGACACATTCGTTAGGCATAATGTAGATATAGTGCAATCCTAATTAAATTAGTGTGAACTTGAAATAGATTCTGACTATTGAAACACTACATTGGTATGTATATCTTAGTGGGGGAAAAAATTAAAAGCTGTGTCTGCGGTGGTGGGTCCAGGAACACAAAGGTGAGGGAGCCCAGAGAGGGCCTCCAGCTCCCAGATGGATGGACTGACAAACCTGTTATGGTTATTGCAACTTAGATGGCTGGAAATGGTACTCACCGACTTAATTCTGAATGTCACTTCTTCTCACACCTGTTTTATTTTTTTTTTTCCCTCTAAAGTCACATTGGGGATATGACTGAAGAGATTAATTGCCTTTCATCCGTCTGCGTTCTGTGTATTAAAAGGTGAATTGAAGGTAATGATGACTAGGAATATTTACAAAATTGAAGTAAGACGTGCCCCAACCACCCTCCCGACAGCCTTCCCTTATATCTGGGATAATGTGTTGAGCTCTCCGACCACACCGTCCTACTACTACCTAGTATTATTCGATCACAAATGTGGTAAATTTGTTTTCTTTTTTATTTTGTAAATTTGTTTTTCTTTTATTTACAAACTAGAAAAGGAGGTTGAAGTCATTATGGGAACGTCCAGGCCACTGAAACTGCCACCATGGTACCAACATTATATGGAAGTACGTCGGTACGAAATTGAATGTTTCCGTGCAGCGAGAACACTTCGGGACCGTTTGATACGCGATGAGCAACGGTACTTAGATTACGCTTCGGACCGCTACATGCAGCGACGTATGGCAGGCAGATCGGTAGTGCAACCACATATGGAATCGGTTAGAACGGAATTGAAACATCTGACGTTGAAAGGAACGGACAAATCACGGACAAAGAGAGGCAGACTTGTGCAATCAACGATACCCAAACGATTACCAAGTAATAACAATGGTGGTCTAAAATATCCATCATTCTTATTTGAGGATATAATTATGAAAAACGACCGTTATAAACAGGAGGCTTCAGTACAACTTTCCTCACCACGTATCCAAAAATGTCAGCCGCCTGAGCCTACGGCGACCTGTGACGATTACTCCAAAAGGAAGTACACGCAAATAAATGACAGAGTAGTGGTCACAAAGGAGACGATGGTAGGATTAGCCCAAAAATAAAAGACAATCAAAATGCTAACACCCATGATAACTTTACTACAGACATTGCTTCTCTTCCAGATAATACGAAAACGAAAATAAGTATTAAGCGGGATAAGAGAAAGGAGAAATTCAAAGAAAATTTAAGAAAGAATAATTATATTAATGATTTGGACGCTTTTGAAATGCAAACACAATCAGGCCAAGAAAAAAAATGCCGACAATCCTGTCCTTACTAAAAACAAATGTTTGGAATAAGTTTACTACTGTTGTACCGTAAAACGTCTAATAGAAACCTGACCCTGGGTTGCTATGACTTTGTTTTTTAGTGTAGGTTGCGATTAAAGTATGGGTTAATACAGAGTACACTGGGTCACTATTATTAAGCATAAACCAGATAGGAAAACAATAACCCTCCTTTTTTCTGTCGACAACTCACATTACTAACAAAATTGAAGATTTCATTCAAAACAAATCGAATACTGTAAGAATTCTCACTCTTATACATTGTCATTTAGGTATATAATTGTGTATGAAGTTTTGGCATTCCAATAGTAACTCAACTATGCTACTATTAGAGTGAATATTGATCATTTTTATTGAATATCTTGATTTGATGTGGTGTGTTTGTTGTGAATATCTATGATAATTTCGTCATAATAACCTTAATTATTTTAAAACAGAAAAGAATATATATATATATATGTATTTATATATATATATATATACTGTATATATATTTATACATATATATATATATATATAGGCCTATGTATGTATATAAATAATGGAACGACATACAATTATTAAAGACGAATATTTTGGACACGACTGTTTCCTCTCAGCGTTGGTCATATGAATGAGAAATACAAACACACTTTTTTCATACAACTGAAATAAGGGAACTTTTCGTTGATGAACTATGCCTGTTTCGTTGATGAACTATTCTATTGTGTGTATGTAGGGGTGAAGGGTATGTGCTACACTGTACTGTATCCACTACTGGATCTACTACGAATTTAATAATATAACACTGGTGTAGTGTAAACGTTTATATTTATAATTAACATAATAATATGCCTATACATAATATAAAACAATATTATTATATAATGTTGAGGCAATACCAAATATGCAGGCCCGTAGCCAGGTTCTTCCAAGGGGTGGGGGGGGTTCTGGGCGTGAGTTCCACATTTGAAGCCCCGGTGGGGTCGGCGAAACCCCCAAAGCAAGAGGATTTTTGTGCTTTATGGGTCTAAATAATGCTATAAAAACAGATATGTTTGAAAAGGTCTGTGTCTGGGTGGGTCTGCAGTGCATTAGTTGGGTTGGAGGAAATATTTGGGAATTTAAAGAGGGGGTTTCGCCAGAAAAGAGGAGGGTTTGCTAGAAAAGGGGGGTTCTCCCGAACCATAACCCCCCCACCTAATACGGGCCTGAAATATGCCTCAATAAAATGTATATGAATTGTATGTACTCTGAATGACAGTATTTGCATTACACGCAGGAGGCCTACTATAGTAAAGGCGTGTAGTAGCAATTCAGTGCAAATATTGAGTTTCAGGAAACGATTACATTTAAATCAATAGGTTGAAAGGTTGCTCGATTTATGACCATTAAAAGAACATTTTATTTGATTTACACTCACAAAAATATTGTTGGATTATAGCAGTAACATATATATCATGTCTATTAAATAATAGACTTACAGTAGCTTGAGCAAAACATAATTTTTTTGGCCTTACAATGATTATGATGATGATGATGATAATCTTACTGGGTTTCTGTCTCGTAAAACCGGCACTGTCAGTGTAAGCCGCTTTGCAAAATACTGGGTGAATGTTCCATGTATTTTATCGGGCCGAGCAATGTACGTACGCCTATAAATTTAAAAACAAATTTCACGTATCCTACAGTACATTGTTATTATTGACACTGTTGGCAACTTGATAACGTTTCGCGGTACAGCCGGAATGTTGTGTGGATAGCAAGGGGTGGTTAAGGCACTAGCATTGTTGTTTGAACTACCTTGTCCAAAACTGTGTCAATATCGTTGATTTACTTTATGTATTCTGGCAAAGTCTAAAGTTAACACATGACTTCAAACCATAGATGAAACAAGCACGGTGGCGTGGAAACGGGGAGTAAAATATATTAATATTATATTATTATATTCACTAACGACAGACACTACGTATAACACATTTGTATGACGTCACTTGTCGAACCCACCACTAGACATTACTGTATATTGTATGTACCTTTTGGACACATCTGAAACACACACCTACTGCAGGCTGAACTACTGTAGGCATACATGTTCGTGTAAGTAAGCCTGCATTCATTTCTCTTTTGTTTTTCTTAAAGTTTTCATAAACTTGCTAATTCTCTTGTAATTTCATAAAGGACCCTATACTTAATTAAAATGTATTAAATCATTCCATTTTAGCCCCGTATTTATTTACGTATTAAATCGTAAGGCAGTTGCAGGCCACTTTTGCGTTGGCATGCAAAGGATAAGGTAATAGAGCCAAGAACACCTTGAATGAATAAAATCTATGACCATGGAACTTCGAAATATTGTGCCTACGAATACTGTGACTCTCAACTAAGTCCCTATGCGAAATTTAACTGTTCCCTGATTTATGCCTATGCATAATGTTATGATAGAATGGTAATGATGAATTGTAATAGCAATAATGATAATGACAATTATAATGATGATAATAATGATAATGATGATGATAATGATGATGGTAATGATGATGATAATGATCATTATAGTCAACGTAGTCACCTATCACGGTCGTCGCTACCTCCACCTCCGCCGCCCGTCTCTGTCTTTGTCGTATTGTTGTTATTACGATTATCATCGTCATCTTCGTCACCGTCATTCAATTAATTCCATACCTGCATATTCTTCCATTACCATTATATTTTTGATTCATCATTTTAGAAATACGGGTCTAATAGTTAATTGGAAAGTTATTGGTGGTTATTCTAACATTTTAGTTTAACATTTACTTATATTTACTTTAATTATAATTATATAAACAATTGCAGATGATTATCCATGGCAGCCTACACCCCGTCCGAGCTACCTATCTGGTACAACAGGTATTTCGTTGCTCGTGAGAATCAACGTCGGTACGAAATCGAAATTAACAACTTGAGAAAAGAACTCATTCCATCATACCAACATACACTTTCAAGGAGTTTAGAACAGTACAAAAAAGAACTTACGACAGGGAGGTTCACAGTCAGCAGCCACAACGATCGTATAGAAAGGCAAAAGGCACCGGAAGGAACCGTAGTCAAAAGTAATAATAACTGTAAACCGGTTGATGGTTTAAGACCAAACATATCGTGCTCGACAGAGTCGAGCAAAACTCATGCTCGTCCACCGAAAATAGTATTCCCTCCAATAGAAGAAACTTTCACTTATTTATCCAACAAAAAATTGTACAAAGAAAGACCAAACCAGAAAGCTAAGTTTAACTTTCAAGTAAAAGAAAGTAGAACCAGAAGTGGGAAGTCACGAATTTCTATCGAGAGGCCGGTTGATGACAGATTTGTTGGATACAAGCCACCTGAACACCTATGGCCTGGAATGCAAAAACGAGTATGGAAAAACATGTGCAAGCCCAAAGGTGGTGAACGAGGCAAGGAATGCTTACAGAAATTTTACAGTAGTAAGGAAGACTTAAGTGTACACAAAGTGAACATAGATGTGAAGAAAGTGAAACAAAAAACAGATTGAATGACGGGAATGCACTATTCCTACTTTCACTTTATTGCGGCCAAATGTTTGAAAAGTTCTCTTTATGATTCAATAAATAAAGCATATACATCTTGTACACGCACGGCCGTTCACTTCGCCAGTGTTTCAGTTGTTCCCATGATTACAATATGCAAAGTATTTTGTTAAATAGTAAATTATGCAGGTAATATTAATTATCAGTCAGTCATGACCTCACCATGTTCAGTTTTACGGCGCGTGCGAAAAATCTTAAGCAAACCTCCTATCATATCGCGTTGGTGCCCAGCCGAAACTGTTGAACATAGATAAAGCCCAGAGCTAGGCTAGCCTAGATAAATTACCAAGGTGATTCGCTTAAAAAACAATTACCTTCAAGCTAGCTATTTTGGGCTCTGTTGGAAAATAGAAGCATTAGGAGCCGTTGCTTTTGTCAACATTCAGCCCCCTGTTCAAGTACCGTACTCGCGCGAATAAGCGCCCGTTTGGATAAGCGAATAATCCAATCAATCCTTGGACCAGGGGCGGATTTAGGTGGGGGCCGGCCAGGCACCCCCCCCCCCTTTTGGGAGGTATAAAAGAAAGAAAAAACAAGAAAAAGAAACAAAAAGAAAAAATGATAGCCTAGAACGCCTCAAATGTTATTTTCTGGCGTTTAGAACACACACATTTCGCGGGGGCATGCCCCCGGACCCCGTAGGACAGTGTTGTCTTGATCGGCCCAACTTTCGCAGCCGTGTATAAGAGACAGAACTCAGGATCCGCCCCTGTGGACTGTGGATGTTGGCATGAGCCATGATTTGAAGTGTGGAGTGGAATCACATTCTCCTTTAGTCAATATCAAAATGAGGATATTTATCTCGGACAGATGAGAGCTCCCTGGACAGATATATTTCCAACTTTCATCTTCTTACATTTGTCTACAGCCTAGTCCTACTCCTTTTCCGACAATTTGCACCTTTAACACATTCTCATCTAAGTTTTCAAAAAAACCTGCAATGATCATGCCGTCCTGCTATTCTCAATCGTCCGATGGTCAACAAGCTAAACACCACCACTAATTTCATCTGCTATTCTGCTGTTATGTAATACTGTACTCACAACATTCTTGACATGACAAGCCATGCTCTCTGGACGATTACCGTATCCTGATGTCCTTATATAGGTTTTTCATTAAAAATGTGCCTCTTGAATTTAATAAGTTCTCATAAGAACCCCTCGATTTTCATCTATTTCCATAAGCGCCCCCTCAATTTCCACTCTGTTTTCATAATAAGAGCCCCGTTCGAATAAGCGCCCCGTTTGAATAAGCGCCCCTCAGAAAGTGCAAAAAGAATATTTTGAAGCGCCCGGGCGCTTATTCGGGCGAGTACGGTACATTATTTGTAATATTTTGAATGCTGCCACCAAACGGTATGCAAAATAAACTTTTTAAAATTTTAATGCACTGTGTGTTTAGAGATTTTAAAATAAACTCAAATCAAATTAATATCTTAAAAGAAATATTAAAAATAATATTAGCTTATTGGCTCATCACATTACCATAAACAATACTAAATAATAATAATAATAATAATAATAATAACGTAATAATAATAACAATAATAATAATAATGATAATCTTTAACATAGAAGTTTAAAAAAATAATAGTAATTTAATAAAAACGTTTGCTGTTTCGTGTATATTATGATTATTCTGTAATTAGTCATGTCAAACGAAATGATTATAGAAAATGATAAATACACAGAAATGATAAACAGCTTACAATTCTTCAAATGCATATTTCTCTCTTGTAATACCGCAGTAATCACGACGATAAAGGTGGGTCCTATCCAACCGATGTATTGACTATATGACAGCGCTCTTCGAGATCAGCATACGGATGCTTCACTTTTATGTATACATCTGTTGACATAATCAACATCCAAGAGAAAGCTGCCAAAAGACTGTAGTGCAAACATCCAGCATGGATAGCATATTATCTGAAATATTGAAATTACAAACTGATAATTGTAAACATGTTTATCTAGTTCGAATAAAGATGTTGAATTTAGTACTAACATATCGAAAAATGACTCAAAATTAATACAAAATCAACACATGAGACGGATAGCTGAGATACTTCAAAATGCATGACTAAAATTTGAATTTAACTATAATGTTTGATGTAGACAGATATGTTATCAATGCTCTATGATAATTCTATAAATATACATAGGCCTATATGAAAGTTACATTGTTTTCTCGATATAAGTAACATCCGATTTACTAATTTTACGTTATAATAACTGATAAAGTTTGAATCAACTAAATCAAAACGTCGATACATTCTAAAAAAAATTTTTAAAAAAAAATTAAAAAAAACATTTTTTAAAAACTATCTACTACCAAGCATTTATTATTACTTCAGCTTGCACACCTTTTAAACAGTATTTTCAACAAAATAACATTGATAGCGTTGCTGGAACATTATTGCACTGCCGACACCTAACCACAGAGTACACAACTTTGCTAGAAGCACTTTCTATAACTCATCATTTAGTATTTAATTATCTACTTCAGTAGTAATAATTATAAGCTACAATGT